AGTCTCTATTAATTTGAAATTATCGTATCGAATTCGATAATATCAGTATTAACCGATCCAGAATACATTTAGAAATTTATGACTATAGCACAGTCGGTAGACAGGCTTAAAGATACGATAACGAATTGGCAGTTCTGACTATAATAGTTAAAAACTAGATAATGTAAAGGCAATTTGCTGAAAATTTCATTCAGATTGATCCACTCTGAATCGAAAACTCAGCGGTTGAAATTTCCGGCTAGCCTTGGTCATCATTACTAAAGTCAGTACGATAAACAACATAGTCTCGATTATCCATTTAATCGTTAAATCGTGAAGGAAAGTTATGCAGTAAATCGGCTCATAATCCACTAACGGTCACAGGGAGCGATGCCATCTAGCGTCGATTATGGTCTGGATAGGTTAATTAATGTCTAATTAATAATTTAGATAAAATTTCAGGCCTAAAGAAAGACCTGCAATAGACAGATTTAGCTCTTGCATAATGTATGTTTAATCAGTGACTATAGTGAATTTTAAGTTTATTAATAGCATGAAAATGATGTCTATAACTAGAAGCAATGGGAGTATTTCGAATTGATTGGATTCCGTTGTGACGAGACTACGTCAGCCTACCGGTACCTGCCTAGTTTGTTTCCCGTGTGATTCATGACCTAGCCAAGTCTATTCAATTCTAACCTAGAATATACATGTAGATTATTATTTATAATCTTACCTGTGCAGCCATAGGGATATAAACTCTTTCATGGACATCGCCCAATATGTCGGATCGTGTCTGAAGCGACCAGTCTACGTCATTAAAATCTAAGTATAGAATCGGCTTATGTGTTTATACATAATGCTATGGTACCATTGATCTACATGATTAGATCAAACAACCCCAAAACGCATTATTCATAGAGTTATATACTAAACAGAAAAAAAGTCAGTTATACGATTTCAAAATCAGAGAGGCACTTTAATTAAATCATTCTAAAAAACGACTTACTAAATGGATCAAAGCAATTTTTTGTAAACAGTATGTTGACACATTAGTGATTAATTCACCACAATTACATGACATTACGAGAAGATTTAGAGTCTGTACATAGTCTATACATCAGTATCTGGTGTGTCAATAGCAGCGTCTGTACATGGAGTGGACCAGGCGATTGATGAACGCCATCGGCACATGGAACCCCACTCTTAGAAAAGTTTGGCGGTGTGGTAAAGGGGGTCTATTCAGAGTAACATACCAACCTGACGTTTCTTTTGCTAATTAGTATATATAGAAACTAGAGTCCGCACTGAGCATCTGTAAATACCCGGAAATTCACTATGTTTAACAACAATCGAAATAACTAAACTCTGTCCATCTATTTTGAAATGTGCACTATTATCAGATTTACTCACCCAAAAATATATACTATTCAAAAAAAGTAGGGGATATTTGATTTTTAAGTGTTATTAAAGTCACCTAATGAAACTGACGAAGAAACAAATGACAAAATGAAATGAAGTTCACATTCATCGATTTATTCCAAATGATCGTTAGACTAAGTAAGGCACAGACTGACCATTATAAGGGTAAAATGATACCCGGGGTCAAACAGCAAAGTTACCACAGCATCACAACCAAGTCAGTAACGGGTAAATCCTCCTCTGTTTGCCAAACAAGCATTGATCCGACGTGGCATACTCCTAATGAAACGTCTAAGGTCATTTTGGTCCAGATTGTCCCATTCCTGTTGCAACGCAGCAGCAAGTTCTTGGACATTGGCAGGACGTTGTTGACGTTGACGTAACCTCTGTCCAAGCATGTCCCAGACATGCTCGATGGGGGAGAGGTCGGGACTCAGTGCTGGCCAAGGTAATGTGGTGATGTTCTGTTGTTGGAGGTAACCTGTAACGATCCTGGCCCTGTGACATCTTGCGTTGTCATCCTGGAAGATGAAACGGCGGCCATGACGTCGTGCGACCGGCACAACATGGACTGCCAAGATGTTGTCCCGGTAGTACTGGCCTGTAACACGCCCTGCAACAACATGTAAAGCCGTTCTTCCAGCAACAGTGATGCCTCCCCACACCATAACAGAACCACCCCCAAATCGATCATGTCTGATGACGTTAACGTCTTGGAAGCGCTCGTTTCGACGACGCCACACCCTCCTACGTCTGTCCAAAAAATCAACAGTGAACCTTGACTCATCTGAAAACATCACATTGCTCCAGCGTCGATTATCCCAGTGTTGACGATCCCTACACCAACGACGTCTTGCCTGAATGTGATGATCTCTCAAACAAGGGATCACGCGAGGACGTCGGGCGCGAAGGTGACCCCTATGCAGTCGATTCCGAATCGTCTGGCCACTCACTCTCACACCAGTGTCTGTTTGAAGACGATCGCTGATCTGATTTGCTGTGATGACACGATTTCTCAAGGCCAAGGTACGGATAAATCGATCCTGGGCTTGAGTTGTCGCCCTTGGTCGACCTGAGCGTGGTCTGTCCTGTACAGATTGTGTATCACGGTATCTGGACCATAGCCTGCTTATGACAGACTGAGAAACATTGTGCCGATCTGTAGCATGCAAAGGGCTCGTAACCTTTCATTTTGGGTAAGCCGACGCATATCAAAATTTGTTTTCTGGTCACTAAAACAATTAAACTGATGTTTCCACCCTGGAATTCAATGCCACAATGACTGTAACATTCAAAGTAGAGTCGTGCAAATCTTGGGTTGGACCCTAATGATGATCCCAAGCATCACCTGCATTCCATGCGGTAGCTATTGGTGCGTTTGGGCGTCACATGTAACTGGAAATGTTTCTTCTGTTAGGTTCTATAGTGACTTTTTTCGTAGTCATTTGCATATTTTAGTATTATGCCCCCAAAATCAAATATCCCCTACTTTTTTTGAATAGTATATATACACCAACTGCCAAACGACACGTAATATAAGGGGAATAACTACACATCGTTATTTTCCCATTAGAATGCAGCCCACCAAAGATTGTTTTTCAATAAAATTAATTGTTCATTATTGTCTCTATTATAACCGCTGTAACGTTTCCACAGATTTTCATTTGGCTAAACACTCATATTTGATTTGACGATTAATCCGGTAATGTCTTCTTCCAAAGCTTATATGAGGTTGCTGTTGAACACTGAAATTCAGGTTTTCATAAATGGGAAGTATCAGAATAGTAGACATTTAACTGTCCTGAACGCTTGAAATAAGGAAATTTGAAACTCTATACTAGTAAAAACGTAACTATCAATCATACATCATCGTAACAACCCTCTTAACATTTTCTTTCCACCGCAAATTCATAAATATTCACCAAACCGTAACAAAAACTGTAAATTCAAACCACTGACCAAAACTCCAACAAAGGGGCGCAATTTAAAATGAGGAAAAGTAGCAAAGGTGAGATTTGCTATACATACTGGGAACAAAATTGTCCAATAAGTGAGATTAAAGTTGTTCTGTAGCTAATTCATGTAGGCGTTAGATTGGGTAGGGTGGGTGGCTCCCGACGCTACAGGGGTTTAATGGGCGCTAATCGGTTAGGAGCTGAAATTTCGCTAATCCCATTTTAGTCTTGCGATTTTTATTTACTAAACAAGTTCGTTGTAAAGGGCTTAAAGTTTATACGAAGTTACTCTTTTGGGCATTTTCATACTTTTCGGCAATCCTATGGACCCTGCCGTCCTATTATTCTATTATTGCCGTTGATGGTTAATATTGACGCGTGCACAGAAAACCATTCACACCACGAATTTTAGCCATGCCGTTCTCAGAACCTTTCCGAGACCACCGCAATAGAGTAATCCAGATCTGAACCGTTCTTAGAACGGGACGTTTGATCTGTTCACACCACTCAAAATTTAAACGTTCTGTTTTCGGAATTTTTCCTGAATTTCTTAAAGGTTCATACATTAACCCTAAAGATTGCTTCTTCTCTGTACCCTGGTATTGCATATCTTTGCTGAATAGCGAAGGTGTTGTTTCATTTATTTGCGTTAAAAAAATACACTTCATCAATAAGTTTAAATCATGACGGTCTACTAATTAAAGAGAGATAACTCCACTTCCCAAACTTTCTTAAGTTTCCTCAGAGATATAATGGAAATTGATCGATTGTCCCCTGAGACAAAGTCGACAAGAAGTTTAACCACATTCCATTCTATATCTTACTGGGATTCTGTTTTAGAGATATCACTTTCCGGCTGGCGTATTATGTCTAATTATTTTGTTTAATATTCCCTTTACTCAATCCGTGAGTGTTAAAAGGAGCTAATATAATAATGTATAATGAATGTATATAACCTGATTTACATTCAATCGTTTCTATTTTACTGTAATTTCTAATCAGTTATATTTGGCGAAATACGCCAGAAGTCTCAATCGAATATCAATCTCTAGCGTCTGATTATTCCAGTCTACACCGATAGTACTTATTGCGCATGGTCTCCAGATAAGAATATGACGTCACCGATTGACATGACTTGTGGAATATGTCTATCCTCGTTCTTCGAGTCCCTTTTCAAAGTCGAAGAATTTGGATAATATTGAGTTCGAGACTTAGTTACTTTAAGCCAATTTAGGTTGACCATATATTATGCCTCTCGGAGATCAGACCCCACGTTGTGATATGGGAGTTTACTGACTCTCCATTCTTTTGAATTCGTCCACTGATCTTTGTATTTATAGTATATACTTTCATCGAGAGAAAGCATGATTCATTATATTCCGTTGATTTCTCTAAGCCGATGGTGGATGCGTTCGCATATCGATTTAGAACAAATGGTGTCCGAAATATAATAAAGTCGTTATGGCTTGGTCTGCCACCATAGATATTTTATAAATATACATATGCTATTTTGTTTGCATATACATGTTTATATTTTATAACTTTTCACAAATCAATGTATCGACAACGGGGTATTTTCTGACAAAGCATGCGCACTATTCTAGAAAAAATAACGATTTTCCGCCACAGGTGTCCATGTTCATGACGAACATTGTTATACTCAAGCATTGTTGTGATAAGTTTCTTAAAAGCAGTATTTGTATATGATAGCCAATATGAAATTCAAGATTTTTCAGTTAAGTCTAATTCTTTTATTAAGTTGTGTGACTTTAGTTTCAACCGCTGAAGATAACTCTGACAACGAAGCGGGTGTGGACGATTTTTTCAGTAGTCTCTTCAGCAGTATCTTTGGAAGTTCTAAGGAAGACTCTAATTTAACCCAAACAAATGAGTCATCATCGAACAGCAGTTTATCAGTAAATGGAAGTTCGGAACCCTTAAACATAGGGACACAAAATATCCGAGAATCGGGAAGTTATCAAGGCACTACGGAATCCGTCCCAATACGAAATTCCGATACTACGGAAAATGTTAATTCCCAAAGTTCCGGGGTTGAATCTGAATTTGGTACTACCGAGACGGTGTTTGCAGAAACAACGCCAATACACAAACAGGCTTCAGAATCGTATGGGATTTTTTCAGAAACAGCGCCACCCCAACAGGTTTCTCAATCGTATAATATGTTAACAGAAACATCGCAAGCACAAGAACAGGCTTCAGAGTCGTATGGGTTGTTTACAGACGTAACGCCAACAGAAGAACAGGCTTCAAAATCGTCCATCGGAGATTTTTTCTCCAAATTATTTTCGGGTGCTGAAGAGACCAGCGACATTACGGAAACTATCAATAACGCTACAGCCAATTACGCTGTACCAACAATGAAATCGCCTGGTGTCTGTAAAGCGAATCCTGATCTTAGAGACTACTGCTCTTTACCAGAAAGTCTTGGTATATATCTAAAACAAAATTACACGATCGATTATTTGGAATCTACTATCTTTGACTGCGATGTTATTCGGCAACTGAAAGCCAATTGTTTGCCGGGAGAATGGTGCCTATCTAAACATATAGTGTTCAGTTTTATGCAAAGTTCGGACCAATTTTTAAGCAGTCCCATTTGTTCTTCTGGATTACAGACTTGTTTACAAACAGCAAATAAAGATCAGGAAGGGTGTGCTATTAGTAAGGTAATTTACATGTTTATATAAACACTTTCAATAACGGCGGGGGTAAATCGGTTTTTAAATCCACACTAGTATGGCAAAATTATTGACGTAATCGCAAATGTTTCTCTCCAACAATAGTATAAGAGTAAAGGGGTGAGTAAGGAATTGGCAATAAGGCATAACTTTATGTTATAGGTTATTTTACCAGATACTGTTACATTTATCAGTTCATTATGGGTAAATGTGTAAACATGGTTGTATGTTAATTTCACAATATCACGGGAGGACAATGCTGTGCTTGCTTAGTATTTGCTAAATTTCTGATACTTTCCCAACTTTTTTGGTGTCCACTTTGATGGTTAGTGTTCAGTGGAGAAAGATAAAGCCCCGTCATCTATTCCTCTCTTAAGATCTTCGCACAAATTCCAAACACATTGACCAATTATTTTAATTTACCGTTCTATTCCTGACATTTCTATGACTTGTATATCAACGCCTACCGGTATTTATATCGTATGCCCTCTAAAAAAATCAAGGTAAAGAATTAAAATCGACAAAAAAGCCCTGTCATCTATTTTTCTCTTAGGATTTTCGCACAGATTCCAAACACATTGACCAATTATTTTAATTTTCCGTTCTATTCCTGACATTTCTATGACTTGTATATCAACGCCTACCGGTATTTATATCGTATGACCTCTAGAAAATCGAGGTAAAGTACTAAACTCGACAAAAAAAGAAGAAAAAAAGAACTACAGCTTGCACAGTGACGCTTATTTCTATGACATGCCATTTAAAATATCAAGTTAAGGGTGGAGGTAATTTTAAGCATGTCTAGCATTAAAAACGACCAAACAAAGAACTACGGCTTGTCTTTACCCGGGCAATATCCCAATCATTACCAATCTATAAGGCCTTGACTAAACGACAGAATGTATGTATTTCAGCACAATTACGACTATTAATTAAACAGCTTTTCTACATTTTGCGTCGAGTTAAATTGTAAGAGGTTGGCTTTAATCGGTTTGTTGACATAGCTGTGTAAATTCGTAACGGACTTTAATCAATATCGGATATATTACAGGCACCATCTTGAATGGCAAATTAATGATATAAGTATATGTATACGTATATAAGGTATATATTAAACACACCATATGTTACCTCCAGCAAATTTAAACTGCGATATAGCTATTTGTCATTTAAAGTAGCCATATTTCTTTTTGACCCTGTATAAAGACCAACAAATCTTTTGAAGATAAAAGGGAGTAAATCCCACTATTGATTTGTTTTGTTTAAATTTAAAAAAAAACCCACAAAATGAAATGGATTGGGGTTTCACGTCCTACTCGCACAATAACAACAAAAAACAAAACAACACACAAAATATCCAACACCAATCAATTAAAAAAAACAAAACTTTATAAAGAGTATTTTAATTTCATTTTTGGCATAGCACAGGTGTTCAAAAATGATTTTGGAAATAATTTTATTTTAGAAAGAAGAACATACAGCAAAAATAAATAACAATTGATATTAGGTGTTTGGTAAACAAATCAGTGTTTAGGATAAGATTTTACAAGCAGCCACTCCTACTTAGAATTATTTGGTTTCATCTCTAATAAATGACCAAGCATTTTCTTCACAAAAGTGTTCAGTATTATTAAAGGTAGTTTTAATGTTGATGCAAAATGAAACATTTATAGAATTTATAACGGAGATTGGAGTCAAACAGTTTTCGTTCCAATAGCGAGTTTCAGCGACAGCCAAATTTACCGATTCATCGATGTTTGCTGCGGAAGCACCGATGCATAAAATTTAACTTGATATCAGCACTAACAAACACTAAAATTGTATTAAGGGGTCACTCTTATAAAGCTGCCAGTTATGAAAATGCCCTTGAGCGGCTGCTGCATACAGTACTATAATTATAATCTGGATTTTTCTAGCAACCGTAAACCATTCATAACAAAACACAACACAAGGTATATATGGATATAACTACTTCTCTATTATTTAATAACGACGTTTCGTAACACATACAGGTCACGTTTTCAAGTTAATGATAAATATCCATCTAGTCAGCCTATGTATACATATTAAAGCTTACATCAGCTTAACCGTAAACCAATTAGTAACATTTCCTCTGGCTACTACCCCACTATAAAATATGTGGGATAGCTGTAACAAAAATTAATATGTAAGAAATAAGTGTATTTTTCTTTCTTTTCAGAATATTTACAACACAGATGCAGCTGTACAATTATTATGTGAAATAGGCTCTCAGGCCGGATTGACATATGAATGTTTTGGTCGCGTGAGAGCAATGCTCCATGTAAACTTGGCTGATGTTCTTCGGGGCGACAAGGTAAGACGAATCTTTAAATTATATATAAAAAAACTTCAAAGGTATTTTATTGTATTTATAGCCATGTACATTGTATTGATTAATAATTATAATAGGCTTACACTTCGCTGAAATGAATAATTTCTTATTATATTACTTGTAGTCGGCCTGACTTCTCAGATTCGATCGTGTCTTCTCAATATTTGCGGCATACCTAAAGCTGCAGAATGCCAATTGAAGTTTTTGTCAAGTATCTAATCCTAATCCACGATAAATTGTATTCAAGTTGATTATTTAACATTTAAAAAAAAATAAAGATATTAACGGATGATATTCGCCTGGTCTGGATTCAGTCGGATTACAAAAGGTTCACAATAAAAATAAAATGAAATGGGGTTTAACTTCCTACTGTTCTACTACTGCTGGACTAATGTAGACGGGCACATGCCATGTAGTGTGGTTTGAGTGAACTTTTGCCCGGAGAATTTTTTCTCCATTTCAAGATAATCTTCAATATGCCATATTCTGAGCCGTCTATTGTACGTTGATAATGAAATATATCTTGGATTATTTTGTCTATATTATGATATATAGTATTCTTGATTCAAGTAATATTGTCTGCATAAACCATTTTATCGATTTATTTTAAAGATTCTAGATGATAGCAGTAACCCAACAGAATGTGAAACACAGATGGGACAGGTAGGGCACCGAACTGTTACTAAACACTATAGCTAGGAGCATTTGTTTTGTTTTACGTTTGCATTTGGAGATACATCCCTTCGATGTTCTACGTCCTCTTTACTACATGTATTCTTACTAACCACCGACAAGGGGTCAGTATCCCCAAAGTATTTGCAAACAGTGGCCGACAAGGAAACAAATTTTACAGATATGCATAATATAAGTTGAATTTAAATCGGATAGAAATTGTGAACTCTAGAGGGTCCACAGACTAAAAACGCGAATTTTCGTACAATCAGGGGCCAGAATCCATGAAGTTACTATTCGAATATCGAAAGGAACTAAGATCTTCGGGGTATAAACATAGGTGTTAAGTTTCATCAATTCGGATAAAAAATGTGACCTCTGGAGGGTCCACAACCTTGGTATTAGTATTACATACTTTTACATTATATGTACAATTTTCACGAAATTCGGACTCAGCTGTCATTAGGGTGTAATGGTGATAACTGTGTACGGTTTTTAAAATAAACAGCCGTGTTTGGCCACAAAGGAGAACATGGGCATCTGATGGGTTGCCACTTTAAACCTCGTAAACCTTGAACAATAACAAACACAAAAATTTCATTAACAAGATTAACAAAGGGTCCAATGTTTTCTTTTATACTTACATACTTATTGGCTGCATACTTTTTTAAAAGTCTTTTTCAACAAAAAGGGTAATATCTAACAAATGATAGTATGGCTTAATCACGACCGAAACATTTTCTAAAAAAGCCACCCCCCACGCCCCCGTGAACGCTTTAAAGATTGCTCTATGGCCTATATGGAAGGCCCCATCAGGCGGCGAATAGGCCTAGTCAAGCGACATATATCACCGTAATCGCGATTATCATTCTATTTTACAAGAAGAGACTGGGGTTTACATGTCTGGAAATTGCGGGGAACTTTGTCGACCAACACGATCCTCCTTTTAAAGGATACATTATGTCAGAGCTAAGTCATCCAAATGCAGATCCTTTGTTTGGCTTCAAGTACTTGATAACGATAAGAGAATACTTGTCGAAACGTCGTGCTATATGTGTATAAACCAGTGATTGTTTTCCATATAAATTGTGTTGTGTTTTTTTAACTCACTAGATGATTGGATGGTTTTGATTTTCAACGGATCTGAACACGATTGCTAGTTTATAATTTAATTATAAAGCAATGAATATTGAAACTACGCTGTTCTTCGCACAGAATGAAGTAATTTGACTGAAATTTTCAACATTTTCCCTTTTCATTTTTTTAAAACTATTGTAGCGAGAATTGTCAGCTCATTTTCGAAATAGTACATAATGCATCTTTAATGGACCAGCTTTCTTGCTTATTGAGACCCTGTCAGTAGCGAAATGCAGACAGATTTGATAGCATATAGGTGTACGCCACAAATTAACTGCGACAATTCTGAAGCCGGGTTTCTACAGTGGTTTGTATAATGCAGATTTTCATACTAATTTATGTGTTACGAATTCGTACAGGTTTCACCATTTACAGTGAACTTGTTTTCAGCAGACAAAAGAAAATCAAAAATAATTTATGGGAAGAGCTAATAAAATATATAGACAGGATTTATTTCTTGTTATATTAAATTTATTGTGAGCTTACTTTTTATAGTTTCATTTTTCTAGCCCATAAGATATGTACAGTTCGTTAAAATAAGTTTTCAGGTTAGACTAGATGACCTAATTATCATTGAGGAAACGTATCTTTAAAGATGCGAACAGATAAAAAGTCGCTCGATTCACGCCGCAACTAGGTAATTTTCGTAACACCGCCACCCAACCCCACCACTAAGTTGTAGATGCGTTGTACCATTCTCCGAAGAGAGGCTTAATATGATACAGTTTGCTTGTGCATGCAAGATCCCAGACCGTGATGATCACTCCCTTTGATATCCATGTGAACATGAAATCGTGAGTGTCAGTGAAAACGAACATAAAAATATGTGGGAACTGTGAAAGAATCTGTAATAAAACAGCATTAAGTTAGAAAGAAATCATTTTTGTTACCCAATTTAGACAATAGTTGGACAGACTCTCTCTGTATAGGACTCAGGGTCTGGTGGCCTATGTTAGATTAACCGAATCCTATTTACATCTATCCGAGGTCTATGCTATTTACAACGTTGTTTTATTTAATAAATATATCTCTTTTGTAGCAAATTAAACAGTACCTATGTTTATTGGACCTGTGTAGTTACCAATCTAGTTCGTTGATGAGGTAAGTACATATGAGGTCTGATTGAAAAATGATTACCCCAGTTGTCTGTAAGAGTGTTATCGATAGGCCTGCAGCTCATCGACACTAGCTGAACATTGTAAACTCCTGCATATCAGTAACTTATTTTGACAATAAGGAACATCCTGTCAAATGATGCCTTATATATATGACGCACGGAGAACTAATTTTATTTCAAATGCCGAAAACTAAAACCTTCTGATTTACAATTCATAAATCGATAATTCTGTAAATCACATAGGTGTTTGGAAAAAGCATTTATATTCTTTTTCCTTTGTTGGTGTGAGCAAGCTATTATTTCTCAAATAAATAAAATATAGTTAAGGGTACATGGATATTAATTTAATTGAAAAAAAAGGGACTTTTGATCAAATTAGGAATATTAAGTGAGACATATTTCAGTGTACACATTAGGAAATGGTTATTCTAGTTTAGTAATTTAGTTTTAATTTTCAGTTTTAAACCATGGCAGTGGTTTTTGAATGATGTCGATGGATTTAAGTCTATGTGTAAATATAAAAATGTATGCGGTATTAAAGAAAGGGAGATAACCACCACAACCTTACTTACTACAGCCCAACCAGAGATAAACAAAAACGTGGCTGACAATAGCAATATTGCTGATGAACAGATGAGTTCAAGCCAAGATAATGCAAATACAGAGGTAACATATTTTGAAACTGAATGCGAAAATGAGACAATATCCCATCAAGGCCAATGAAGACAGGCATACGCCATGGCCTACTCTTACTCTAATGTGTACACAGGACCTCGGAATTTCGTCCCATCCGAACGACTAGACAGCCGTTCTTGTCGGGCATTACGTCCTGCACCACTGGCTAGGGGAAACCAGGCCGGAAAATTCCGATGAACTCCTCGGTCAACACCGGGAGCGAACCGGCGACCTCCAGGCTAGGGAGCCAGCATCTTACTTAATTAGCCACCGTGGCACCTTCTGCAGTAAGCACATAAAGGGGTTACTAAAATGAGTTGTTATCATGTATTTACTCTAAGGGATATGTTTAAGACACAATTGGTAAGATATATATTCCTGACAATAACAAAGGGCTTCATAAATAAATATTCCGCTTACTAATTTGTGACTTCCAAACCAATATATTAGAAGTGATATTTGATACTTTAATTTTTTATATAGTAAGAGTTCCCATAGCTTTTGTTGTCCTTTTTTATTTGATATCATTATGTTTATAATATTTCAGCATGGTGTTACGCATTCGTTTGGTGCCGGTACCAGAACAAGAATGTTAGTTGGACTCACGGCTGCGGTTCTTGTTGCAACGTTTGGATTGACCATGTTGGTTTGTGCCTTATGGAAGCGAATCAACAGGCACAGTAAGCGGTATCACCCAGGTTATTCTAAACTAATGAGTGAAGAAGCACAACCATTATATCAATGACAGTCACTGTAACACCGATGCTAATCGCATGCGTGAAACAAATAAGTTAACTATAGGTCTATTACGAGTAGTGTTTTGTTACGCATGCTTATTTACCAAATGTCAAAAGATTGTATAAAAAGTTAATCGCATGATACATTACCGTGGTTTAAAGACATCTATCATACAGGGGATTGTGCAAATTATTCAGATCCGCGGTTTACTAACGTGGTCATTTTCGAACAACCATGATCATACTTGCTATTGTGCCAATGAGTATTATGCCTTTGTTATTGTGTGACAAGGCATTTAGTATGCCACTCGTAAACCAGTAGAGGTTCTTGCGTATTAAGTTAACTTTACATGTCCCATGGTTGTTTTCTACCTACATTGTATAGTTTGTACATAGATAAATAGTCATATTATTGATATTATCTTTACATTGTTAGTTTCAATGCGATTTCTCGCAATATGTTAGTTTTTGTGGGATTAGTCGCAATTTTTGTTATTTTTTAATGGGATTTGTCGCAATTTGTTAATGTTTAATTGAACCTTTTTTCATTCTGTTAAAATATTAATGCATTGAAGTTGGTGAAATGAAATGAAATAGGGTTTAGCGTCCTATTTTTCTGCTATGACTGGGCACAAAAGACGGGCATACGCCATACAGTGTACTATCAGGATAATTTAGTCCAGATAGCGGCGCTACGGTCCACTTTCTTTTCGAATTCCAATTGTTTAGGGTTCTTTCATGTGCACCCCAACATGTATACGCGACCCCTTTTTTCGTCCTATTCGAGCGACTAGACGTTGTCCCTTACCAGGCTGAAGTAGAGTGGAATGATGTGTTCATTAGCGACGTGGGCTGGTTCCAAATAGTAAGACCTGTTACTCATTTTAGATTTATTTTGAAAAACAAAATCTGTTAAAGCTTAACACTGATTTATTTATAGACTTACAATGGTTAACCACGATGATCCGTCTTCATTAGCTCAGTCAATGCAGAACAGTGGGTCGTTCAATCCCATTTCATGTCATTTCGTTAACCACGACAGATTGTCATCACACAAAACAAATCTTTGGTGAAATTAGAAGTTGGATTTTAAAAATGTGCCCGTTTTTATTGTTTTTATTACCTATTATTTTCTTACTGTAGAAAATGGAATTATAATTATTGTGTCATGAAATTAACTGACTTTGACCAATTGTTCAGACCAATTTTGCTGCCTACCTGCAATGACTCTTTAAGTTATAAAATGCGAACTCGATTTGAAATCTTGACATTAATACCATTCACTCGGTACGTTCCTGTTTGACATTACTATACTTTTCATTCTGTGCATGCATAGATTAAATTCACTATGAAACTGATATAAAAGTTTACGAATATCTGCAAACGAATTTTCTAGCTTAGCTTTATGATGTAAACTAAATGCCTTTCTTGTAGTTTGTTTTTGTAATAAATGATACAGAATCACATTGGTATGCTCACCACATTTAATATTCCTGGGCTGTTGGATATGGCAAGTGAAATTTTGTAGGGTCAGATTCAAGCTGATCTTCCCTAGTGATTTTCCAGATGGCAATATCGGCATCCGCGTCATGTTTGTATAAGGGACAGACTCGAAAAGGGTTGGTGTAAAAATACCCCCCCCCCCCATCGCCCGTCGATCTTCCAGCGAAATATATCTATGATTTCATCTTTACCCCCGTCCCACTCCTCATTTAGAATACACCGTCATTCACAGAATGTATCTCGGATTCCTCTTTTGATGTGTATGGCATATATCTTTGGTTCGTATATAATCTGGTATTTATAAAAGTAAATGTCTACTACAGTAATTAAATATGTCATTTGACTATCAGATATGTGTGCCTAAGATAAGGAGATTAAAAAGCACCATTCTATTTGTAAGTCAACCAAGAAAGAAGTCATGTTAACAAAATGTGGATGTTATACCTTCGCAATCATACTGGCGTGAATCTAAAGCAGTCATAATTTAATCTCTAGGATTGTGCATAGAAATATGAAATTCTCAAGAGTTTGAGCGTCTATACAATACATGTTAATTATGTTTTATATATGCATTGACAATCGAGGAAAAATGACAAACATGGTTAACCGGGCCACCCCAAATATATTACATTGAATTACACGCGCTATTTCTCTGTGGAAGACCTTTGGAAACCTCTGTCCTTGTATTATACATGTGCATCTCTCTTAAGCTCCGTGGGAGACTTTTGGGAACTTTCGCCCCTTGAGCACTTATCGAAGAAATGCAAACATTTATTTGCCTTGTGTTTGGCGATAAGTCCCCGAATTCCCAAGTGCCAAGAGAAACATCCCTACATAAGTTATATTGGTAATTGATCGCCGTGATTATCATGACCTGCATACAGCGGAATTTATTAATTGGTTTACGAAACCCAGATCAAACTTGAACGGCTCATTATTTTGAGCCTAAACTTTCGGACAAACTATTTGATGATTTTTTCACATTTCGACCTTTAATTTGCATACATAAAGATGGTACTGCTCCTTCAATAATCATCCCGTCGTTTGTCTATCTTATCAGCCACCACCATCTCAACGATTTTATTTTGATTTATTATACAATGTATAAATGCACAATATTCAAGAATATGTAAGTAAAAGCTTTCAGACTGTACACAATAAAAAAAAACCTCTCTAAAATGAACATTGGTCATGTAAATATTCAGATTAATCACTCCTACCGGAAATACGAGATAATTTCCCGGCCTTGATTTAATCGGTTTAAAAACAATTCCATCAATTAGAATTTGCGAACACCTTACGATGACACCTGGTCATGACGTCACCCGACAATCAACACACTTCTGCAGTATATTGCAACATGGCGGAAAGGTCAACTTGGAAGAAATGTAGACCTGCTTTGTCGACAGACTCTTGTCAAGGGCAAGAAGCGAGAAAATAGAAAAAGTAAAGATTACCATTTACATAAGGGACAGCATAGATACTTTACCAATTGTTTGTTATTGTTTTCAAGAAGATGAAGACGGTTTTACGATTTTCGTGACCCCTACCCCACCCACTGTGTTACTAAGAATATTATTAAATTTCTATCTATAGGAATGAATGAATTAAATGGGATTTAACGTCCTACTTTTCTACACCATCCGGGCTGATGAAGACTGACATTTTAACCTTTCTATTTAATTAATAAATTGACCCCTCTGTGTTTCATAAGCTCGTTCATAATCGGTTGATATAATTGAAGGAAGTGCAGGGTTCACAGAATATCGTAAATAAAAGTGTGCTTCACTAGGTAAACCTATCGCCATTTTGTTTGAGAATTTTGAAACAAAGTTTCATGAAACTGAAAATAATTTTTGTCTCTGTGTAAGCGGATTACAACCACATATACAATTTTCGAATAGGGCGACTATTCAGGGCAGAGAGATAGTTAACGTGTTATGTAGTGGTGTGCTGTATGAGGTTACGTAGATAGTTGTCTGTGTGCAGAATGTGGTTAGCCTTCGTAATGCATTTAAGGAATTACATTCTTCATTTGTATGAGTTATTTGATCATTTACCACGATATATTGATATATGAGTACATATTATCTGTCTCATTTTAATGTCAAGTAATAGTAAAACGAATAAATGACAGAAGATCAGTAATGTTGAAATATGGAAAAGCAAATACACTTTCAAGATCACTCGATACAACTTTTCCTTCTGAGGATTTCATATTGTTAACGATTATTTTTTTGCGCACTTTTCTATTTCTATTTCTGACCATACAGGGGCAACGGTGGATCGGTAAGCATGGCGCTGGCTCTCTAATAAGCAGGGCCCGGGTTCGATCCTGGTATTGGCCTAGAACCTACTAGAGATTTCCTAGACTGGTATCGCCTTGTCGTTGGTGCAGGATGCCTAATTTGCTGGAGACGAACCTTGCATAATGAAGAAAATTTTGCCTTGAGAGCGGCGCTATGGCCTACTCTCAATTCGAATTCCATTTGTCAATGTGTATACGGAACATCCGAACGATTAGATACTGCCCTTACCATGCCCTCCGTCCTGCATGGTGAATTACGACACCCTGCTTTAAAGATACATTATGGGAGATTCGATAACGAGTTGGCAGTTCTCACTATAATAGTTAAAACTAGATAATGTTAAGGCAATTTGCTGAAAATTTCTTTCAAATTGATCCACTATGAACGGAGAACTAAGCGGTTGAAATTTCCGTCCAGCCTCGATAATCATTACTAAAGTCAGTACGATAAACAGCATAGTCTCGATTATCCATTTAATCGTTAAATCGTGAAGGAAAGTTGTGCAGTAAATCGGCTCATAATCCACTAAAGATCGCAGGCTAGCGATGCAATCTAGAGTTGATTATGGTCTGGATAAGTTAATTAATGTCTAATTATAATTTAGATAACATTTCAGGCCTAAGAAAGACCTGCAATAGACAGATATAGCTCTTGCATAATGTATGTTTAAGCTATTCCACAAGTAATGGAATTAAATGAAAAGAAATGGGATTTAACGTCCCACTGTTCTGCTTAGACTGGGCTAATGAAGACGGGCATACGCCATACAGTATGCTATGAGGGAAATTTTGCCCGGGCAGCGGCACTATGGCCTACTCTTATATCGAATTCCAACTGCCAAGGGATCGTTTACGCGCACGCCAATGTGTACACGGGACCTCGGTTTTTCGTCCCATCCGAACAACTAGACAGAGTTCCTGCACCACAACTAAGGACGCTGGAAGGCTAAAGAGGTAACCAGAGGATGATCGCAAAGTAGGATTAGGAGTATATAATTCTAAAACGTTGCTCAAATAAGAAGGTGCCATGTGATTAAGACATTTAAAAGGTAATAAAAGTATTTTAAAACGGATTCTAAAACGAATGAGGAGCTAGTGTAAATGGTATAATACCGGAGTAATGTGGTCATTAAAACTAGTTCTACTTATAAGTCTGGCAGCACTATTCTACACCTTTTAAAATTTATCCATCAATCTTCTGGGAAGGCCAATTAAAAGAGAGAGAGTTATCCAAACTAGAAGTGACTATTGAATTAATTAAAATCTCCGTAGCTTCCTCGGAAATATTTTTACTTATACGACTTACGTTTCTGATATGGAAATAACATGATTTACAAATATTACTGACTTGTTGTTCCATGGACATCTTAAAATCAAATACTACAACTATATTGCGAGCAGAAAGAGAAGGATATACGAGCGTACATTATATTCAGCTTTTCTAATTTCCTTATAAAACGAATCATTAAAGATACATTATGGGAGATTAGATAAAGAGCTGGCAGTTTTCAAAACAACTGTTTAAAACTAGAGAATGTAAAGGCAATTTGCTGAAAATTTCAGTCAAATTGATCAACTCTGAACCGAGATTTTAGCGATTGAATTTTCGGCCTAGTCTCGATCATCATTACTAAAGTCGGTACGATAAAAAACCTAGTCTCGATTATCCATTTCATGATTAAATTATGAATGGAAGTCGAACAGCAAATCAGAACCTAATCCAATAAACATCGCAGGCTAGCGATGACATCGAGAGTTGATTATGGTCTGGATAAGTTAGTTAATGTCTAATTAATAATTTAGATAACATTTCAGGCCTAAAGAAAGACCTGCATTAGGCAGATTTAGCTCTTGCACATAATGTATGTTTAAGATTTGATAGTAGATTATCGGATCCAAAAGACAAATACTCGGTTTTGTCAGCGTTCGGTTTCAAAAAGTGAGTGGATATGCATGTATGGATTTCACCTATACATAATTCGACTTGGGTAGTGGTAACAGCTGCACCAGTTGACGGTTTAAATGATAAGTATAACTGTGTGTCGTCAGCGTTTGGATGTGTACAAACTAATCAGTATGCGTCCTGAAACTGTCCCTTGCGGAAATCCATACTCAAGAATAGTTACATCGGACGAGCGACCGTTGACTGAGACACACTGTTGGGGCCCTATTAAGTAAGACCTAAGCAGTTCAAGAGCACTATCTGCGATACCAAAACGTGAAGACGTGTAATTATGACAGGTAATGGAATTAGGTTTAACATCATTATACCTTTCTGTACACACGGGGCTGATAAAGAAGGATATACACCATTCAGTATGCTATGAGGAACATTTTGCCCGGACAGGAGGCGTTGCTTCCACCTGCACTTCAGGTTGCTCGTTTTCTTCAAGGTGAAGTCGCAGATATATAGTAGGTAATAAAATCGGCTTATTCGATGTAAATGACTTCATTCTGAATCTGTGCAACTATTTAGCAATATATGAGTCAATGTAAACAGTTTCTACACGCTAGCCCAAGTATCTCCAATATCCTACAATGGGACTTTTGAATCGCCTTTTTCAACCCATTTGTATTTACAGTGTCCTGTGAATTTTATGCATGTACGCCGGATATCAATCATTTTATATTTATTTTTTTATGATATATATCT